TTTCCCTGGAGTAGCTTGGTGATGAATCCAACTCAATGGTTGTTTTCATGGAAATCAAAAGAGCGTATGAAAGCAAAACTCGCCACTGAAATCGTCTTCGCCTTTGTCGTCAACCAGCTTTTCCTCGATTGGAATATGCATTTGAGATGTGAGAATTTCGGCTTCGACGTTTTTCGGGGAGGAATGACAACTTCAAGCTTCTACTGACTTAATTCTGGAAAGCTTTTAATCTTGCCTTATTATCAATGAACTAGACCCAGGTTCGGAGGAGAGTGCCAAGATTGAGGAAACGATTCGTACCACGACGACTGAAACAACGAGCACGACGACTGTGGTTTCTCCAAAACCGCCTACATCACAACCGACGAGGACCGCCGCCTACTCTTCGCATCTGGGACGGCGTCAATGGCACTGTGATCGTGAGCAAATAGTTATCTATAATAAGGAGTACCTAGACCACCTCACCGTTGTGTTTATGCTCGTTTTTTCCTAACGAAATACGGAGCTAAGGTAGTCACTCTGATTCCATCGGAATTTCCGTAGAAGAGCCAAATGCCGCAGAAACGTTATGGCTAGCACCACATTATTGTGAATATTTTGCTTGACAAATAGGCACCTATTCAATTTGTATAGCTGGGAAGCACCTGTTCGCCACCTGATAACAAGGAATTCATTGCTATCTTCAATTTTGATTTTGAAACAAGTTATAAGATGATCTTTGCTTCAGGACGAAAACACCCGCGCAGAGCGCAGGTCTTACGGTGGAGCTGATGCTGATTTGTTGGGCATAGGACTTGCCACCGGTGCTCCATTAGACCTCGAAAATGAAGGCGGTAGAGTAGTCCCTTACAGGATACGAAATATTCCAAGGTTGGTTCATGAGGGTATTTTTCTCTTTAGGCAACTGTACACCAAAACATTGTCGCTCTTCTTGATAGTATCCAGGAGAAGTGGAACTGACTTTCCTGCCGATGTGATGGCTAGCGATAGTTGTTCTGCCTTACTTAAAAGCAGGTGGTACGATATTTATGTTGAGGAAGAGCCAACGAGGCCACTACGAGGGGTTGCTGGGCTCCCAAGGGGGCGAAACGTGGCGCTTCCGCGGGCGCGGGATGAGTTCCAGTAGCGACCTAGCAAGACGTTTCCCGTCCTTTTGAACTCCTCTCCCTCTGCTGGTAGGATTGGCTACTGCAGTCGTTGGCCCCGTACCGTCGGACTCTGGTCGTTCTAGCAGATGTGCAAATCAGAGCGTTGAAGTTGATGATCTCAGCACTAATGAGACCAATTTGTCGCACTTTTGCACCAGTTACCTTCAGGGATTTTCGAGCCCTTTACGAAATTGCAGCTCAGAACTTCTGGACTCGTTTAAAATTGAAGATAAGGTGAAAGTGAGGTGATCGAAAGTAAGCTAAAAGCTAGATGACAAAAAGTTGGTTCGAAGTCGTTGTCCTGAATTCACCACTGATTCAGAGCTTCGTCGCCGGATTTGCCACCCGTAGCTGCAGTCCACAATCAGCCACACGCTCGAATGAAGAATACAGTGGTAAGAGATATCAGCGTAATTCTCTGGCCCTCCTTTCATATTCTCCCTCCCGTCAGTGCAATTGGAATAAGCCGTTGCTTTTAGCCCTACTGCTCTGATTTGGTGGGTCGTGAGTGCAGTGTTTCTGATGTGTAATGTCGTAATTCAGAAGCCGAAGACGGCATTCGAAAGGCTGGCAGTCGACTATAAGGAGCGGTTGACAGGTGCAGGTGATATGGACAAAATACTGAAGACGCTCTACTCAAATGCCTACATTGCGTTGGTTGACGCGAAGGAGGCACCAAACGTCCGCCTTCCCCTGAATATAAGACGAGCAGAGCTCCAATACGCTCAACGGTTGCAATAACCGTGAAAAGTCAAGAAGGAGAAAAGGGATATCCTGTTACAATCGGCGAAAGCATCAGTTGTTCTCCTGTATTTTCTTCCCGTCAATGTTGGAGATGTTAAACACTGTAAATATTTCGTTACGCTCAGCAACAAATTGCAATCTTTGACGAGACAAAGATAATTTAACATATTGTGTGTGTGATTAATTATTATATTTGCTGTATATTCGAATAAAAAACTACCCAAAAGTTTGGACTTCGCTGACATTTCAGGTTTGGTTCATTAGGCCGATGCCAGACTTTGCGAATCGAGCGATTCGCTAGCGTGCGTGGTCACGATGCTGTACCAGCCAGTCGAGCAATCCGCTGGCTGCCGCCGGCGCTAGCGAATCGTCCGATTCATGGAGACTGACATTAGCCGTACGGAGTTTTTGTAAAGAGTAAGATCCAAAAGAGAATGGTATTTGATAGTAGATCTGCAGCTATGCGGGGAAGAACAGATGTTGGTCCTGCAAAGCATTGTTCGGTACTGAAAGGTCGAATTCGTGGTAGATCACATCATCGAGTCACGTGTGGGTCAATGAGAATAGTAGTTATGAGCATCGCCATGTCCCTCGTATTCAGTCGGAACCGTCAAGTTAGTACCTACCCACCATAGTTCTAGGCACTGAACGGCGCCTCAGCCATCGACCAATCAATCACATTTCAGCGGCTACCACCTTTTCACTGTTTTGTGTACCAAGACAAGCTTGCTTTGACGGTAGAATAAGAGGGACGCTTGCTACACATGCCACAGTCACTGTCGAAAAAGACCTAAAGAGGCTTCTCGAACGTTTCAAGCTCTTTCTAAACAGTGCTGGGAGTGGTTTTGAGTCCTTTAACGGAGCAGCCAGTGCGGGCGCTGACTGCCGGTTAGTGCAAGTGGCTGGTCTCCGTTAACGGTACGTTCAAACCTCCAGATGTGAAACGTAATGTGAGTCGTGCTTGATGACGATAAGTCACGTCGTCTGAATGCAAACCTATGTGTTGTAGACGCTTAGAATCAATTACATATTGGATTATTCTCCAGAAGATCGAAAAGTGCGCATATGAGGTGACCGGAAGTAGGATGTTCTTGATCAAGCACGAAATGGAGTTTCTCGCAGTGTTCGAACGTCATGTGTAGCGACGAGAATAAATTTGTGATGTTTTACAGTGATGTACTAGTCATGTACGGCACCAAGGGAGACCGTTTTAACCCATAACGGACGGCGTGCGCCACAAGGTGGCGCACGAACCAGAAACTAATTTATTTATATGTTTTACGTTTAAATAAAGCAATCTTAGAACTATTACCATATAATACCTCTCAGACAATGTGGAATAAATATTTCCAGAGCCTAGACGGAACCCGACCAGCTAGATATTTTTGGCAGACCTACAGTAAATTTTACATACATTTTGTCTTAATTTACATAGGTTTACTATTTGATGGGTGGCTTACCCATGGTTCGCACGTGCCGAGACCCCTCCCTCTAAATATAGCCACATCCTTGCTCGGGGTTGTTTGTTACGCATATATTTATAAATGTACTACAGCATTCCAGGTAGATAATCTTTAGCTAGTTTAGAGCGAAAAACGGGGCTACGAACTTGGTCGTCAACGGAAATCTCTTTTTTCGGATGATGAGACTCCGACACCTACTTTAGCCCCGTCTTACCCCTGCTGTTCACATAAGCCTACATAAACCCTACCCTGGGTGGCGGCGTGCGCCACATGGTGGCGCACGCGAAAAATACACTTGGTCGTTATGGGGTTAACGCATCGCAGCCTGCGATGATCGCCGGGTATGGCCACGTGAACGTCAAATTGACATCTTGTGTACATCGCCGGGTCGCACATCGGGTTTAGAGCTCCTCCTCGCCCTGCCATTAGAACATTCTTATTGAATGCTAAACTACCGACTAAAGCATTGGGCTTAGTGGTAGTTTTGAGTATTAGTCATTTATGGGATTGTAATGTGGCAGAGTAATTGGTGCTCTAAACGCTCAGATCACGGAGCTGAGCTCATCCGGGGATCAATCATGAAGGGCGTGAGGGTACCAAAAGATTGCGCCAGGGATGGGCCAACCAAGCCTTCCATCCCTCCGGGGTCGGTTAATTGGTACCAGACTTGTCTGGGAGGATAAAAACACTGACTTACATCGGCTGGCCCCCGCAAGTCATTGTATAGGCCACATCGCATTCAAACGCCACGAATGTACAAATGGAAGTAGAATGCGTGCCGCATCCCAAAAAGGGATTGATCAACGGCAAATGCTTTATCCTTTATATTTATAGTTTCGTACTTGAATCCAATGAAACATGGCTGCTCTCCATGTTCAATGTCAAGAAATTTTCGGAGCTGTAAGGTTGCACATCTAGTGCCTCTGTTTTAACCTTCAATAGTTATTTGACAACAAATTTACCGGCTAAAAACTACTGCATATAAATTCTGATGAGAAGCCGAGCAAGAAACTATTAAGAAGCAAAAAACGGAAGAAGCAGAAGAATTAAAGGGGCAATAGCAATACCTTTGCAACGCAATGGGAAGGTTCATAGCTGGGTGTGAGGGAAATAGCCGGGTTCTGCGTAGGGCAGAGATATGGTTTTGTTGGCGAATTCCACAAATGCTCGATGTGGTGACGCGGGTATGCACGCTAATAATGCAGCAGCATCACATATGCGACGTGCGCCGAAATCAGTATATCAGCTGCCAACTGTACAACGCTGCGGAGGCATGAGAGGTTGTCCCGGGCAAAAGTGACTTGGGACTGAGGCAATGATGAAGGGAGGCGTGTGATGTATAAAATGGACATGAACTTGGGAATTTAAGATATCGGAGATAGATGTCGTCAGAATAAATGTTATGAGAAGTGGCATGCACAGCTGCCACAATGTACAGTGAGGTGCAAAATGGCGGCATACATAGTTGCCGTGCAGTCATCAAGGTGCTAACACATCCTTTCCTGACACACTTTCTTCCATCGCCCTCCAAATATAAATGTGAGACGAAGATGTAACAATGGACTTGAAGCCTTTAAGGGTCAGAGTGTTAAAAGCAGTAATAAATAAATAGTCACATTTCATCTGGAATCACCTTTCTCCCTTTAAAACGGTTGTTCGCTAATCTTTTACATCATTACTGGATGTGTGGGGCGCATCTCATCCACAGAACACCAGTGCCTAGCGGCGAGGCAGCACTAATTGGCTGCGAAAATTTTCGTTATTTCCCACGATTGCCTTATGCAACGTAATAAATAAATAAATAAAATTTTATTTGAAGCCACGAGTCAGGATTAGGGAACATGAGGAAGTCCTTTATAGGGTGCAAAAGTGGGGTCTCCAAGCAGAGGGGGTGTGAGGCTGTCGCGACAAAGAAGTGCGCGGCAAAGGCGCTAGGGCCTTGCATTGTGTGCTGCCGTGCTGCGAGAATTTCCCGGCAGCACGGACCGGACACAATCCTGAACAGCTGCTCTGCCCGAAGGTTCCTTTTCATGTCATTTCATCATCTCTTCTTTCTTAATCTTTCATTCTTCTATTTAGTCACATTATTTTGTCGCTCGTTTTCTTTTCCGGTCGTTCTCAAAGTTTTTTTTTCTTGGTATGTGCTAGTTCACGTATCCTTTTGAGCAGTTGCCTTTGCCAAATGACTGAAAAAGCCCCATAGATGTACGATGCAGTCAAGTGGAGAGTGTAAGGGGCGCGTCGACAGAAATACATACTGTTCTGTCTTTCATTATTTGTTCTTCGAATGAAGTCCACTTCTTTTGCATAGTTTTATAAATGTTTATGAGTCAGATGTAAGCATGCTTGAAGCAAAGCATTACTTATAGACTTGGTTTGCCTGTCGAACTTTAATCTAGGTTTTGTGGCTTTTATACGTGATTATGGTTTCATTGGAGTGATCGTGCGTAACTCCAATATGCGTCATTATCGTCCTCTTCTAAAGTGATACATAAGTATTGAAGACTGTTTAAGTTCTACCGTACGCGGTTCTTTTATGAAATACTGAAATTGAGCTGTTGACGTGCCCTTGATAGTGGGTATGTGGATAAGCTGCTTCCAACATACATCGCTGGATATCAGCAAAGCATGCTGGCAACAGCTTATCCACGCAACTTCTATCAAGTGCACGTCACTTCCGGTGACACACCTACCCCAACTTTCGGATATCGACTGTATAATGTACGCGTTAATGGTTTTGGAGTTTCTGCTTTGACTGTACTCTGGAGCTTCTCGATATAGATACGGAGTCCTCGAGTAAGTGAGTTCCTAGGGCTGCGAAGTTGTTTAACACATTCACGCCTGCACTGATTTCGGCGCATGTCACACATGTGACATAGCTGCATTTCTCGCGTGCATACCCGGCGATGCACAATGCCAGATGTGAGAGTTTCGACGTGCATATCCGGCGATGCACGCGGGCTGCAATGTGTTAATCTGTGAATTATGAGAACCTCCATATTTGTTTTAATTTAGTGTGTTCGGGTTAGTGTGTACTTACAAAACTTTTATGTATCATGCATGCCACATGATCCTCAATCATTCAGTGTTGTCCAGATTGAATAAATTTGGGTGTGGTTCACTGAGATAGGGAGTGCCTTTCAAAACATTTTTCGCAGCAAGAATTCTGAGGCCATTCATGATAAGCGCTGGCCCTTAGGTCCCTGCGTCCTCAGCGCTGCGAAACATTAAAAAGCCGCTTTCTGTCCTAGTTAACCACACCTTGTTTATTTGTCTTATGATTGACGAGCTATATCGGAGGGAGGTGCTGAGCTCCACATCTGCATATTGGAATATTGTGTGTAATATGTGCGTTTTAGACGTAGCCATCCTGGGCACTATGTAAAAGTTTTCGGTGGTCGGCATATGGCACAACATAGGACTATCCGGTATCGCCTACATGTTATGTTTTTATGGACGCCATACTTTCTTCCAGCATTTTTCAAGCAACGAGAAGGAGTTACTGTGACAGGTGAGTACTGAACAACTGAAACG